ATATATATATATATATATATATATATATATATATATATATATGTAAATGTACGTACATACACACAAACACATGTATGAAAATTTGTGTAAAGTAGATAGTCCGTAAGACCAACCACTGGCAAATTTTGGACTTTACAATTTCTACAGGCAGCATGAGTTGCGCACGCGGAACACAAATGCTCATACATGTCGTAAGGGACTGCATATGTGTATACACACCCGTCGGGAAATTATATTCTTCAACGCTTGCATACCCTTCGTAGAAATAATCATGGAAAAGCTAAAATTTTGCATGAACGTGGCAAACGCTTTTAGAAATTCCGTATACTCTTCACTCAAAGGAAAGATCAGGGATCGTTGAGAACAATTTCAATTTTGGTGCGCTGCTGCTATTTGAGAGATCATAAAGAAAGAGTATGAAGAGAGGGAAAGAGAAAGCGAGAGTAAGGGTAAAAGAGCACATAAGCAGTGCACTCAGCGCTCGCAGGGCACTGCTTTTGTCGTGCTTTCATTTCACTGCGCGAGCCTCATAAGACCGAGCCGAGCAGTGCATTTTTTCGACATTGAAAAAAATGTTACTACATGTCTATGTGTCGGCTGAGTCAAAAAAATTGGTATTGATTGTGTCCTATAACGTATCCATCAACCAGAGAAGAAAGAGTGGATCATGAGTGCACCGATGGAAACTTGTTATGAAATTGTACGCTTGACGCTTCAACACAGGGTATTTTCAAGTAAGTATTGTCGACTACACCTTTCTTCTTCTTTTTCGATTTTCATTGTATTTGTATGGTTTCCTTTACATAACCTTAACAAAAATAGTCAGCGCATAAAAGTAAAATTTATTTGTTTATAGAATTTGTATTATAATGAGTATTTTGACAACTATTTTACTTAGTCTTAATCTTATTACCTACGTTAGTTCGAGCTCGGTAATAAAAATGGGTAGGTATAGTTTTATAAATATAAAAAAAAAATTAATAATTAACCGATGTATGTAATTAAAGGTGCCCTATTTCCAATAACTTCAAAGCAAAGAATCGATCCTGAAGTGGCTTTCCAATATGCTGTTCATAGGGTAAATAATGACAAAAGTCTTCTCCCTGATCTGAATCTCATACATAATATTCAGTACATCGGTAAGGACTCATTTCAGACCGTTCAAAAAGGTAAATATTAATGAAAATAATTTGTTTTTATAAAATTGTATTAAATTTACACTCTTAAACTAAATAGTTTGCAATCTTATTGAATATGGTGTTCAGGCTATATTTAGTCCAGCGGATTCCTTGTTGGCCACACACATTAATTCAATATGCGATGATCTGGATATACCAGATATAGGCATTGGAAGATCAGCTCAAGAATTTTCTATAAATGTTCATCCATCGCAACAATATATAAATCAAGCTTTCATTGATGTCATTCGATATTTAAATTGGACAAGGTTTGGTATTTTATATGAAAAGGACCACGGTAAAAATTCATATCTTTTATTGAAATAACTTTAAAGTATAATGTGCTTATTCTTCAGGAATACTAATATTAAATCAATTTTCGCGGTCAATTCAAGCAGAGCTGCATATCCGACAAGTATCGTCTGGTTCGTACTTGACTGTCCTTAACGAATTTAAAAGCAATGAAATTCATAACATTCTTATTGACACGAACTCCGCTGGAATTTCAATTTTATTGAAAAATGTAACTTATTTTTTTTATATAGTTGTTATATCGTATATACGTAAAGCGAAAAAACATAATACCTCTTCAGAAATTAATAGGCTGCTTATTTGAAAAAAAATATTCACCATCGTCAATAATTTAAATGTATTTAGACAGCATAACATTTGTATAAAAACACTAATTTCGTCAAGCACTAACCTTATAACACATAGACCGGACACAAAATGTAAAGTTTTTCTTAATTTTTTTTGGGCACAAGTTCTCAGATCACTTTGTATTTACTCGGACCCATTACGTTTAGGTTCGGGCTTCCCACACAGGCATTTTCCATGTGCACACCAATTGTGCATTATTTTTGTGGCAAAATAAGTTTTTCTCAACGAACAATGTTTGACCCACATTTATTATTCCCATTTACAATGGGAAGTCAGGGTATAATGGTTTTGTCAACAGTATATAACAGGGAGGGGGAGGCGTGGCAAACCCCATTGATCAGGACGACGATATGTTCGTTCGTCCGTCCGCGTATGAACGCGTCGAATTAGTAGATAGAGCTAGACCTAGAAACAAAATTTAAACTAAAATTTGTATACTCATTCACGAAAGTTAAATGCAATGTCCGTCCGTCTGTCCGTATGACCATATATAAAGTATAATATCAAAAAGCTCCAAATTTGGATAGTTAAGACTAGTAATTTAACCTCCTCTATCGACAGGAAAAAAATCATTTTTAAGCCTCTTTAAGGGCGTGGCATACTGAAAAATACCCTGTAGTTTTCAAATTTTTTTAACGTAAGTATCCAAATTTTGCAGTTAGGTTACCGTTAGCTCGTTCTAAGAACTGGTCAAAATGAGGTGTCTACGCCCAGTAGGGGTGTGACAAATAAGGAAATACTGTTTTTCCTACTGTATTAGAACTAAACTGAGCTACTAAATTGCTGATGGTAATGCCCGACTTCAACGCACTTGTTATACCCTGAACCAGTTGAAAATGGGAAATCAGGGTATAATGGTTTTGTGTAAAAGTAGGTAACAGGCAGAAGGAATCATCGCAGACCCCACAAAGTA